GCTTCCGCGCTTCGCGCGGAAAAGGGGGGGGGGGGAACTGAAATCAGACGAGGATAAAGGGTCGAGAACGGTACAACGAATCGTCTTCTTTCTTTAATAGTTTCATAAAACGTCAAAGCTTCCGCGATTAGAGCAGGAGGGGGAGGGGGAGGAACTGAATTTAGACGAGGATTAAGAGTCGAAAACTGTACAACGAATCGTTTTCTTTCTCTAATGATTTAATGAAACGTAAAAGCTTCCGCCCTTCGTGCGGGAGGGGGAAAACTGAAATCAGACGAGTATAAAGGGTCGAGAACGGTACAACGAATCGTCTTCTTTCTTTAAAAGTTTAATCAAACGTCAAAGCTTCCGCGCTTCGCGCAGGAGGGGGGGGGGGGACTGAATTTAGACGAGGATTAAGAGTCGAGAACTCTACAACGATCGTCTTCTATCTCTAATAATTTAATAAATCGTAAAATTTTCCGCGCTTTGCGCGGGAGGGAAAAAACTAAATTCAGATGAGAATTATTTTCGGGAACGGTACAACGAATCGTCTTCTTTCTCTAATAATATAATGAAACTTCAAAGTCTGGGAGGGGGAAACTCGCCCCCCCCCCCCCCGCATTACGTCACTGTTGGTCGGGTCGCCATTACGTACCAATATTTGGTTCGCATAATTTCAAATTTGGGCCCCCCCCCTAAGAAATCCTGGATCCGTGCCTGGACGACTAACCCCTGGTACAACTACCCCCCGGACAACTACCCCCAGTAAACTACCCCCAGGATAACTACCCCCGGACAACTACCCCTACGACAACTATCCCCGGGCAACTACAACTCGAACAACTACCCCCAGACAACTACCCCTCGAAAAACTACCCCCTCAGATGTCCAGTGTGGATGTCGAGGGGGTAGGTGTCCTAGAATCATTTTCGGAAAATCAACCTAAAGCAATATAAATTAGCTTTGTGCGTCACCTTTTGAAATGTACGAATATAACAATGAGGTATTACGTAATCAGAACATCATTTCTATCGGGCATACAATAGAGTACCGAAATTGCTCTTGACTTTTCAAAAATAGTTAGGAGCGTGCTTTCTGAAGATTCTATGTCGGCACGTTCACTGTTAAACAAATAACATATACATGTAATTCAAACACGGTAGCAACTATTTTCGTAAAATCAATTTAACGCAATTTAAATTAGCCTTGTTCGTCACCTATTGAAATGTGTGAACATAACAATGAGGTATTACGTAATCAGAACATGATTTCTATCGGGCATACAAAAGAGTACCGAAATTGCTCTTGACTTTTCGAAAATCGGTACGTGCGTGCTTTCTGATGATTCTATGTCGGCACGTTCACTGTACATGTTACCAACTATTTTCGGAAATTCAACCTAAAGCAATTTAAATGTGTGAACATAACAATGAGGTATTACGTACATGTAGTTAGAACATGATTTCGATCGGGCATTCAATAGAGTAATAAAATTGTCCTTGAGTTGATCTGTTGACTTTTCGAAAATAACTGCGATCGTTTTTTCTGAAGATTCTATGTCGGCATGTTGAGGTGCAGAACGTAGAGCGAATAAAAGGTCATAATGTATGTGTCAGTGAGGATGAGCCCAAGGGGTATGTTCTTAGATCAGTGTGTTCAATAGGTCAGCACACTCGTAAACAGTGGGGTATGGTAGGGGGAGGGCACTGGTATCATAGGGGGAGGTGGAACAGGTGTAGAACAGTAAACTAATGCTCCTCCATCTAGCATATAAGTATTGGTGTGTACTGCAAGGTTCTGGAATCATCAAAATGATAAGAAATTTGGCCCAGTCTTGGTAAAGTTACAAGCACTGTACACAGAAACATGTATATGGGACTACCCTATATCTATCCAGTCCAGATATATATAATAATTTACCAAATAATAAGTAGGCGGTTTCCCGGCAAAATGTGTATGATCACGTATTAGTCAAAACATATTCTTTCACATGATTGGTAATAAGAGCTTCCATTTCATTTTTTTTTTTTTAGAAGGGGGCGTTTCCAAAACTGGTCTTTACCTTTAATTGTTTCTTTCTTCTCTCTCTTTCATACCATTCTTTCTGTATCGCTGTCTGCCCCCTCGCCCTCATTATCCTCCTTTACTCTAATATTCCGTTCTCTTCCACTCAGTACAGGAATTATACAGTAAATAGCGCCTGTGGAAAGGGTTGTATCATCATATTTCACCAGTTCACGTTACCGATTTTCTATCTCCCATTCTTATTCTCCGTTTACTTCCCTTCATTTTGACCACTAATCACCATTTCTGGGCACGTGTTCTGTGCTCCCACGTAGCTTGGCCACTGTTTATAATTATAAAAACCACTGCCCCCTCACCTACTCCGGGAACGGAGGGACCGCATTCATGTTTCCTATATATTTCCCTTTCTCTCCCCTCTTTAGTTCTTTCTTCCGTACTCTCTCTCACCCTCTTTAGATCTCTCTGCATTTCTCTCTCCAGTTCCCTCTCCCTCTTTGTAAATACTTCTCTCTTCAATACACACAAAAACTCTTTCGCAAATGCTCCTCTCTGTTACATGTATCATCATGGAAGTGTAGCCCTCTCCCCCTTCTAACCTGCATAATCTACACTAACCAATGTTAAGCTGATGAACGATCTGGTAGAGAAACTCACATTAGTAATTTGTTGAGGAAGACAAAGAAAGGTATAAGTAGCTTACATATTCGCACGAAGAAAAAAGTCTTGTCACTTTATTTCTTGCATAATTTTCAGAGTATCATCTACATACATTTTCCCCGCCATTGTGATATACATGATGACAAGTGTATATGACTTAAAATATAAAATATCATTTCTAGGTTCAACTAAATTTGCCAAGTTCTATACAGAAAAAACATAAATTTGCAATTTTGAGGATACACAAAACACAAGAGTTGCTTGATTTGAATAGGATGCCAGCTTTAAGCTCATATAATATTTGCCCACAGATAGGTCTGCATACTGTACATACGATTATTGTTTAGTTACATTCAATGCGAAGAACATTTATGTTTATACACAGTACTAACGATTGATGTAACAAGCGCATAGAAATATATGTTCATCTATTTTTTTTTTAACATATCAAGAACTTACGGAAGTTCTTTTCATTGTGAATATTTGCAGTGTATGACTACATCTATGTACAGCCAAATGAGTTTCTGCTGGTAATAAGCCAACTGGTAATATGTTTTCACCATATTGGCCTACATTTACACCATGTCTAAGTAAGTCTTCTTATGTAATCTGTGTATTTTTTTCCGTTTAAACTAAACATTTAACAAATAACATTTTTAGGAACTGTAAGGTCGGAATAGCAATAACAGTAATGTTGGAATATCAAACCCGGTACTATGGACAACGACATAAAAATAAACATATAACATATGAAAAAATATAATGGATGAAATCAGAATTATAATCCCAACAATTACAAAGGACGTTATTATATATCATAAGAAAACATGTAGCAAATAATATACAGAATACAATGTACTAATGGTAGAACGCCTGGTATGCTTCCACCAGGGTATAAAATATTTTAGAAGAGATGCTCTTAAAATAAATTCATATAAAATTTTAAAAAAAATCTTTTTTCCCCTTTTTTTCTTTTCTGTTAGTTTAACATGCATTCAAAACATTAAAACAAAACAGTTACAAATACTTTTTTGTTGTTTTAGATCTGGTTCAACAACAATCTAAAACAAAATCGAGAGCTGATTGTGTTTGATATAAACACCTTTGTATACCTTAGTTTAACGGCATCACCAACATGAGAGGAAATCGACTCACCCATTCTTGCTGAAAGTCACATGCTCAGCCCACACGGACGCACACATACACACACGCACACGCGCACGAATATACACGCAAGCACACATGGCAAGACATTTTGGTCCGAATTCTAGCTATATCTTGTCATATTTCCAATTTGAAGAATTTAAATATGCATTTTTGTTCCTTATTATATGCAATTTTAGGTGCAACGCCTATTAATTTTAGTGAATGTAGGTCATCTATTTCCTTTGTTGATCGATCCATCTAATCTTTCATATCCTTACGGTGTACATCGATTCGCCTATAATTCGTTCCAAAAAAGACTGTCCATGTTGCCTAGTCGTCAAATTTCCACGTAGTTTAAATGCCATCGACTACATAATTTAGAATAACGCTAGTTACTGCTTACCACCCCAAATTGTAACATTAGAAAAAAAACTATATGTTATACTTTGCGGACAATAAATTGTGTATATGGCCACAAACAAAATGTAGAACAAATCAATAATATTTCTATTACAGACACCTGGAAAATTACAAGTTTACCAGGCGCATCAAAGACCAAGACTATATGAGACTGAATACAAGAATAGAAACAGGTTATATATGCATAGACAAGGTTGGACAAACTGGAAATGGCCCGAATGACAACTAATCAGCCTTAATATACATATACGTTCAGTATGTCTAGATATACACGTACGTGGACAAATATGTACAAACAGAGACAAACAAAAACTCTAAAGAAACTGTGATAGATATACTTCTCTAAAGAGTGCTGTGTCTTATACAATCAATGTTTATACTCTTTATTTAAGTTATTCGTTATTTCATATTCATTCTTTATTAATTGAGTTCGTTATTTTTTTCACGTATTTGCATTTACTTTATCTATTTCAAAGTGGCGGTAGATACACACAAAATTGAATTGCTCCGGTTATAAGAAGTGACTCTTGTAATTACAACTCGAATTTTTTTAATTGAATTTCTATATCCAGATATCTTCTTTATCTTGCCAAAAAGAAAACTCAAATCTACATTAAAAAACATCCTGCTCTGCATGCCATTCTTGTATATTTTATAAAGTCACTTTGTTGAAATTACATATGCGGTGTTTGTATTATGGGCAGTGAATGATTATGAAGTTGTACGTCTATTACTCTTTTCAACCATCCCAGCAAAAAAGTCAACTGGATTTACTTCTTTTCGCTTTCGACATCTTCCGTCCACAGACGCTTCATCAGGCCGACCATGCCGACGTTCCTCGACCACGTCACCGTGTTCATGGACCAACAATCATTTGGCGCTAAAGACCAGTCACCCTGATGAAGGGCCCCGGAGTAGACCTAAAACATCGTAAGCTAAAATAATGTAAGTAAGTTCAAGTTTTTATTTCCACATGTGGTTCATAAAAAACAATAAGTATACATACATGTTCAGACGTATACAAAATACACAATTAACAAACAATAATATTAAGAGAAACAAATAGCGAACAAAATCTAAGAACAACTAAATACATGTAGATATAAAAAAAAACATGTGGGGGGGGGGACCAACAAAGGCCAGGGGCCTGTCGAGGCTAATACCCAGAACAATATTAGATATTATGGATATTTATATATATAAAAACAAATAAAAAACAAAAAACAAACCAAAAACCCACAAACAATAGCGACGTACAGTACATGATAAAACAAAATTAAGTTGGCAAATTAAACAGGCAAACAAAAAAATTATATTGTACCACTATAAGTTTGTGAATTGTTTTTATGTAAAATATACAGTTTAAGTTTACGTTTAAAATTAGAAAGTGTCGGACTGTTCTTAATCTCTACTGGTATTGAATTCCAGGATTTTACACCAGTGTAAGAAATTGTTGTTTGAGAGAAACTATATTTATATAACGGTAATCTTAAGTGATTTTAATTTCTGGTACTATGGCTATGAATTGTACAATTTGAAGTGGTAAAATGTTCTTAAAATAGGAGTACATAAAAATTGCAATTTGCAAACTACACATTTGATCCACTTTTAAAATACTCAACTGCTGAAATAAAGGGGTTGTGTGGGCAAGAGGTTGTGAATTGCAAATAACACGTATTGCACGCTTCTGGAGTACTCCAATTCTATTTCTAAGATACAGTGCACTGTTACCCCATACAATATTGCAATATGATAAATAAGGTAAAATCATTGTGTAATACAGGGTTAAAAGAATCCTCATTGGAACAACAGTTCTTAATCTATTCATTACCCCTACGGCTTGAGAAATTTTTGAACAAATGTCATCAATATGTAATTTCCATGTTATTTTATCATCAATTGTAACTCCTAAAAATTTTGTTTGTTTAACTTGTCGTATTAAGCAATCTCCAATAAATATTTGTATTAAGTCTTCATTAATGAACTTATTCTTAGGTTTGAATATCATGTAACAAGTTTTATCAATATTTACAGCCAATCGATTAGCAGAGAACCACTTAGTAACATTTTTCATTTCTACGTTCAATACATTATTTACTTCTGCTACATCATTACCCGAAATAAAGAGACTTGTGTCATCGGCAAAGATAATTGAGTATAATACATCACTAATAAATTGAAGATCATTTATGAACATTAGAAATAATAGGGGCCCCAAAACGGATCCCTGGGGCACACCAACAGATATATTACATAAATCAGATTTGTGGTTGTCTATAAATGTATATTGTTTACGATCACTGACATAACTCCGAAACCATTTTAGGGGTGTACCTCTTATACCATAGCGTTCCATTTTGTTTAAAAGTATTTTGTGATTAATGCTGTCGAATGCTTTCGATAAATCTAAAAATATACCAATAAAAAATTTCTTTTCCTCGAATACTAGAGATATTTTGTTAGTTAATTCTACAAGAGCCATATATGTTGAATAACCTTTTCTGAATCCAAACTGTCTTTTGTATAAAATCTGATTTTGATCAATATATGAAATAAGTCTCAAATAAACAAGTTTTTCGAAAGTCTTGGACAAAAATTGATAAAAGCGAAATTGGTCTATAATTAGATAATTGGGCTCGATCCCCCTTTTTAAAAACTGGGATAACTTTAGCAATCTTAAGTCTATGAGGAAACACTCCATTATCTAGAGAGAGATTAAAAATATCGCACAATGGTTTTAAAACAAAACAGATAGATTTTTTAAAAACTTTTGTATTAATGTCGTCGTCACCTGGACTTGCATTATCCTTAATTTTTTTGTACAATATCTAGAATTTCTGCAAATGTTATGGATTCACAGAACATTGATTGAGAATAATTTACATTATTTAAAAAACTGTTAAAATCTACATTCAAATTCGGCAGGTTATCAGCAATTTTAGTGCCAACAGTACCAAAATATTCTTTGAAACCATTAACAATTACATTTTTATCATCAGTTAATTCACCATTATACAATATAGTCTGACATTGTTTCTTGCCATTAGATTTCTTCAAAACGTCATTTATAGCTTTCCAGGTCTTGTGGATATTTCCTCTACAACTATTAAATTTATTATTATAATAATCACGTTTACATTTTCGTATTTCGTCGTTTACAACATTTCTATAACATTTAAATTTAGCTTCCCTATGAGGAGTAGGATTATTTATAAACCTATGATATAATTTATTTATTTTTTTGCATTTTTTCTTCAAAGATGCATTAAACCATGGTTTATCACTTTTTTTCTTTTTGCAGTTTTTTCAATGGAAAACATACATTATTAAGTAAAATATATTGATCAAGAAATGAACTAAATTTTTGATCAACATCATTTGATTTATAAACTTCTTCCCAATTTTGATTACGTAAAAGTATACAAAATCTTACAATGGAATCATCGTCAATCTTACGTTTAAATGTTACATAACTTATTATTTCATTCACAAAATCGCTATCAATGATTAAAAAAATTGGTAAGTGATCGCTGACATCAGAAACAAGTATACCTGACTTAATAACATTTTCAGATTCGTTTGTAAATATATGGATGGGGAGGGTTGCAGAGTGAGGTGTAATTCTGGTTGGTTTTGATATCACAGGTAAAACAGAGTATGACGTAAATAAATCAACAAAAGTACTGACAGATGGACTTGGAGAAAGTAGGTCAACATTAAAATCACCAAGAAAGTAACATTCTTACTTCTCATTCAATATTTTATGCATTATTAGTTCAACACCTTCCAAAAATGTTGATAATGGTTTACTTGGAGGTCTATATACTACAATAATAACAACATTGTTATTATGACAATAAATTTCAGCACAAATCGTTTCTACACAGTCATTCAATATCTCTAAATCTTCTCGTCTTTTAAATTTTAAACAATTGTTAAGATAAATACCTACTCCTCCACCACACTTGTTTTGACGGTTGTTTGTAATAAAAATATAATTTGGCAATTCTAAAAGGGGTGTATCTGTATTGGTTAACCATGTTTCTGTTAATCCAATGAGTGAAAATGTATGTGTAAAACATTTCAAAAAATTACTCATAGTTTCGAAATTTCTCTTCAAACTTCTACAATTAAAATGTGCGATAGAAAACATACCATTTCCGCCATTTTCGTCAAGTCAAGTAATTCCTTATAAACTGAATGCTTTCTGGGAAGCATCCATTACTATCTTTACCAGGAACATTAGCAATATTTTCTCCGGGGATGTATCAGTAAGAACAAGTTGAGAAATCAGATCTTCTTCGTTACTTATGATTCCGCCTACATGGCTTTTATCCAAGGTGGTGGATTCCTCGTTGGGTTTCCCACCATAAGATACCAGAGGGGTAATCTCAGATATGTCTTCAGGTAGGACTTGTATTTCATGGCTGGGCGATTGTTCAGAAGGTTAAATGCTACTAACGCTGTTCATATCATCTCCAGGATGAACTTCTTCCGAGGACACTTCGTCAGAAGTCACTTCAGATTCATCCAAGTCCTCTGTAGTGCACTCCGGCGATTGGTCAAGATGTTGACTCCTACTACCATCTGTCACGTTCTCCTGTGCTTTGGCAGCCATGTTTCCTGTATGACTATCTCGAGGAGTGTGGTTATTGTTTGCTGTAGTTTCCTGAAGTACCTGGATGTCAATGTGTCTTTTGGTCCGGTCCTGTTCTAGAGAGGTGTCATCTGTATTAGAGAGTTGCTGATCATTGTCGTCTTCGTTGGCACATTCCAAATCGATCTGTTCTTCTGCTACACCTGACCGGCAGCAAGAAAGAAAAGAAATAATTGTTTTTTTTTCATCTCAATTGACATCGAATCGGAATTATCATAATTGTGTAGAACTTATCGCATTGAATTTCAAATTTCTTGTATTTTTATAATAGTAGAAGAGAACTTGATGTTACTAGTCAGCATCTGTTTGGATTTTTTGTGTGCACAGCTATTTTTTTCTGCATTACGTCACCTTGGTATCTAAACACATGGGCCGTATTGTACACCAACTACAACAGCATGTTGCTGAAGGGTTGAATGGGGTCCTTATTACGAAACTACAATCGTTATTAATGAAAAAAAAACTTTACCTTCGCTGAGGTACAGGTCTGCAAGGTTGACCAACTTGGCAGCGTGCACTGCCTTCGTAAGCTCAATCCGTTCATCTTCCCTGGACACACCTCTTCTCCATTGTTTCAGTATATGGCGAGTTCCATCACTGGTAACACGGTTGAACTTCACATTGGTCATGAGCGCTCTCTGTATATCCCCATGTAGGATTCCCAGCTGACCAGCAAGGCTGTCGATCTTGGCTTCATCGTAAAGATCGTCAGCTATCTGCTGTAATATGCCTGCAAACTCATCATCTGGGGGCTCCTCTCTAGAATGGTACATGGTAACAAAAAAGACAAACATGGGGCGGTCATAGAACGTAGGTATGACGTATCAACTTTAATAAAAAAAATAATTGAAATCTTTACTTCGGTGAAGAAAAAATAACGGGAACATGCGTTATTCCGGTGATGAGACCATGCTCAAATTACTGATTATATATTCATGAAAGGATTTCACTTTTAACTCTAATTACCATAGACTTTAATGCAGCCCAATTCTCATTTTTTTTTTGTGAATGAGTTTTAATCTTTTACTCAATTTTGGTTCTACATAATCACATGTAGGTGGTCATAACATTTACCAACATGATTTTGCATCCATATAACTTAAGCGCTGCCGTACTTGTATAATTGTTATTGACATTTTAGCACCACTCATTTTACACACAAAAGTACATTCCATAATAGTGTTGTCACTATAAGATCAATAATGCGTTCATTGTCATGTAAAGAGTAAATATATTTCATCTCACCCTGCTTGTAATGTATCACTCCTTCCCAGTCCTCCGGTTGAATTATCCTCAAATGAAGATGTGCCTTTCATGAAGGAATGAAGTCAGTTTTGATGAGAAAAAACAATAAGATAAATATTTTGAATGATCTTTATCGTTCACTACATTTCTATGTTTTTTTATACTTCTAAAGTGTCTATAATGAACAAGCATTGCATAGCTCCAGTGTTCTTGGATAATTTAATCGAATGGCGTTATTTCTGACATAATGACAACAAAAACAAACAAGAAACATATACATTTATGTTAAGGATCATTATGGACTGTGATAAACTCGATATTCTTAGTATTTCAAAGTAGCAAAATAGGGTAAAGGGAGCTATATAGACCATATTAGACTTGATAAGCTTCACATTATAAATATTTTAAAAAGTGACAAAAATGGAATATGAGTTATATAGTATTATGTATAATAGAAAAGGAGTTGAAAGGGAGAATGAAAATAAAGTCTTACCACCCTGAGCTTGTTTCCCAGAGGTCACCCAAGGAATGAAACTCCATTGATGTGTCTCTGCTTTCTTCTTCTGCTCTGCTGATCGTATCTCACTTTCTAGTTGAATTTTGGTTCTCAACTTCCAGGTCTCACGCTCAAGTTGCTCAAAAAGTTGTTCCTTATAATCATGCTTCTTCTTTAGCTCTTTCACTTGCTGTCTTAGAGTCGTCTCATTTTGTGTTTTTTCCCCTGCGGTTTCCATCAAAGTGTCTACGCATTGTTGCTTAGACTCGAGTTTATTCTTCCTTTCTGCTGCCAATAAGCGCTTGTCTTTTTCAGCTCTTGCACGGTCTTCCTCTCTTCCTTTCTTTAGCTCTTGAACTTGTTGTATTAGAGTCGTCTCATTTCGGTCTCTCTCCCCTACGATTTCTGTCAACGTGTCTACATGCTGTTGCTTAGAATCAAGTTTCTTCGTCATATCTGCTGCTGATGCACTCATCTCTTTCTCAGATTTTGCTCTGTCTTCCTCTCTTCCTTTCTTTAGCTCTTCGAAATGCTGTCTCAGAATCTTCTCATTTCGCTCTTTCTCCCCTACGGTTTCCATCAAAGTGTCTACGCGTTGTTGCTTAGACTCAAGTTTCTTCGTCATATCTGCTGCTAATGCACCCATCTCTTTCTCAGATTTTGCTCTGTCTTCCTCTCTTCCTTTCTTTAGCTCCTCAACTTGTTGTGTTAGAGTCGTCTCATTTCGCTCTTTCTCCCTTACGGTTGCCATCAAAGTGTCTACATGCTGTTGCTTAGACTCGAGTTTCTTCGTCATATCTTCTGCCAATGAGCGCCTCTCTTTCTCAGACCTTTCTCCGTCTTCCTCTCTTCCTTTCTTTTACTCCTCAACTTAGTAGTTTTAGAGTCGGCTCATTTCGCTCTTTTTCTCCTACGATTTCGGTCAAAGTGTCTACGCGTTGTTGCTTAGACTCAAGTTTCTTCGTCATTTCTGCGACCAATGAGCTCATCTGTTTCTCATACCTTGCTCTGTCACCTTCGTGAAGGCATCCACGTAGAAGGTCAAGCCACTGCAAGTCACCATCATTTGAGCGAACTTTATCAGGGTAAGGTATTTCGTACATATCAGTGATCCCGAGATGCTTCAATTTATTTCTCGCTGTGGGGATGTCTCCGTAAGGAAATATAGCACATAGAGGGACTCGGCCTATTCAATCGAAACATATTCAATGAGTTAAACTCGACATTACGTCCAAACTCATGATTTTTGTATGACATCTACATACCACACCTACGTCACATAATATTGTTTTTCTTCCAGGGGGGGGGTGGTGACACAAACGAATGGAGAAAATCTGAAAATCTGAAATGCTTCACTCAAAACCCACATCTTCCTTCAGACATTTAAATGCTAACTTTATTGGAGGTGCTCGAGCCTTTGAATGTTTTTGAAACAGATAAATGGCGCCATACAAATGATGTGAGTCATCATCATCATCATATATGTGTGTTTCATCAGTATTCTCAGTGGCATACAATTTCCTGCCAAATTTAAGTTGTAAAAGGAATGGGCAAAGTCGAGTGAGAAAAGTAGGGAGGGGGAGAGAGAAAGAGAAGGTTGATAAAGGAGACTGAAGAGGAACCGGATAAGGATTAAATAAAGTGAGTAATGCGATAGCAATACATTTACAACTATAATAATGTCAAGGAAATTTAATATTCATGATAGTAAATTTAGTCGGGACAATCATGATAGAATAGACTGATTTTGTTTGTTAATAATATTGTTTAACTACTACAACTTCGATGTAAAAAAGAAGATGAAACAATATTAGGAAATCTAAAGATCTGTACTTAGTAAAAAATTAATTAATAAATAAATAAATGAAATCAAGACCACGTTAGGTTCGATTGATATAATATCGGTATTTGATGTAAGCATTGCCATAATTATATTTAACTTTAATCACCCCCATGTCTCGGCTCAAAGTTAGAAACCTGTATCCAGTACAAGGAAAATGGATATTAAGCACTAAATTGCATGATATAGTATACAAGCAGATAAGTGGAAGGTATATTTCTATTTTATGCTTTCATTTATGTTTTATCCAAATATAATGTCAAAGTCGTTTCAGATATATTATTTATGTTTAAATTGATGAATGTGGATCGTCAGATCATGGCCGTATGTCTCACGTAGATCCATGGTCAGATGATTAACTTCAACCATGTCAACACGGGAGCGGGTAGATGTTGGGGGAATGGAACATAGTACACACCATGCCTGTTTCAAATGAATTTACAGGATGGTCTCAAAATCCCATATCTTATAAAATCACCGTGATTATTCGATTGGTTACCAACCGAGGATATGAGATGATATGAGCATGCATATTAACTCTAATAGAAAAAATGAATCTTGTTCATGCATTTCAATGGATGGTATGATAATCAAATTAATGGCGAAATAGTGTTATCACATCGGCCTATCATACATATTAACACAGGCCTACACAAGCAGAGGTAAGTAACATGCAATTTACTAAGAAAGGAAAAAGTATATAATTTACAAAATGAACGAAAAAGGGGCTTGTAAGAGTCTACGATATCAACGTGATCAGAATTAATGGTGTGTAATTAATATGGATAATATAGAAAAACTTAGATAAGAATACTTGATTTCAAGGTCAAATCATGTACTGTAGCATATTTAACTCTACTCTCGATCTATTTTTCGCTATTTCTTGACTTTGACATAATTCCCTTGATCCCTCTTTTTTGTTTTAAATAAATAATTTGAATTCATTAACAACATAACACAATGTTACAAAATGTATTCAAGTGGGTAACAAAAATAACATGTCGAATATATTCATGTACATGGGTTACACAGAAAAAGAAAATATCCATAGTTGAACCATATGTACAAATTAAGTAAATCATATATCATGTCATATCAAACCTGTGAATTAGCTATAACTTAATAATTCGTAGAGATTTGTGGCTAGAATTGAAATTCACCGAGTTCCAATAACGTATAAGTGATTCAAATAAAGGACATTTTTAAACTTAAAAACTTAAAATGTTGTTAAAGGGAGAACCAAAAGTTAGCACGAGTGCTAGTCGGGATTGGTTTTTCCGAATTTCTAAAACTGTATGCAAAGTCATATTAACATTTATTTTGTCTTAATATCATATTATTTGATCCTAATGATTCATCTCTGCTTAGGAGTTTAATTCTGAGATTTTGACGAAATGATGATCTTGTTTTTTCTTCTCTTTTATTTATGGGCAAATTATTCCACAGCTTTTTTTCTTCTTCTTTCCCATCTGTATATATACTATATATTCCTACTTAACCTCTGCACTCAGAGAGCATTAGCTCATTGATGTCTCGAGTTGGTGTCAGCTTGGGTTTGTCCATATTAGGTCGCCCTCCCATGGGTGGGTTGTTCGTGCTCATATGGCATATATTTTAACACACACGGTGGCCCGAATTCACAAAGGAGGTTTGTCGACAAACCTAAGTTTTCGTGCGTCATATGTCGCGTTTCGACGTGTTTTTACATACAAGGTTTGTAAAAAAAAGCGTCAAAACGCGTCATATGACCTACATATACCTAGGTTTGTCGACAAACCTCCTTTGTGAATTCGGGCCGGTGAGTTTGTTAGCTCAACCGGTGTGATTGGGATGTGCGCATATTCGGGTATACATGTGTGGTCATCCATGCTGTGGTCGATGCATCGTTGGCCGGGGTAGTTGTTTTCTGAGAGTATTTTGTAAATAGTTTTATATATTCCATATTTGTTGTTGTATTCATGAATAAGTTATCTTTGTCACATTTTATGAGGGGGTCTTAACTTAAGAAGCTGTGCTTCAACCAAGGTCTCCTCGTATTTCTTTATTCTACATTGTACTGTAATATGATTATACTCTATTATATTTTGTCACATGTGTTTTCTGGAAGATAAAAAAACTCGATACTTGATACTAGATACTTGATTTATTGTATATATTTCCCAACTTTTTTAAATTTTACTTCATTGTGTATATGTGGATAGGCCATGTTTTTGATGTATATCCTTAATTTCTTTCTTTCTCTCTGTTGATGTACAGGGCTTCATGGTTGAAATTGCTTGTAGAAAATTGATTATGATATAAATTGAATAATAGTTGTTCCTCGTTTCTTTTATGTCCTATTCATTACTGATGAACATTATTGTGTAGCAGGTGTCATTATTGTTAGATACCTACACATGTAATAACAGTGCATATAACACAAAACACCAGATACGTAAACAAAGTTAAACAACCTACATAATGATTCATGCGTTATAGAATTCTGGCTAGTAACATTATTTATTTAATTAATCATTCTTTTAACTAATACGGTGGTGTAAATTAACGCCTTGTGGTGTATACTGTGTGTATCAACAGTGCAATTTGTATCAATTCAAAATTGTTTAAAGATAAAACTTCATATGTCTTCACTTTATGATCCTACCTACTATTAAGAATTAGTGGCAAACTCACCTGTATCCCTCTTTATTATCTCGATCCGACGTAGGTAATCTCTAATATAAAGCGGGCTGAAAATAAAAAATAAGAAAATACACCGATTCAGAATCGTTATTATTCACGTGGTGATGATTGAAGGGTTAATGATTGAATCGAATTGAATTGAACCAAGGTGTCGCAGCCCAATGGCTGAATTGATCATGTGTACAAATAAAACACTCATTGCATATTTCAAACATAAAATACAGTTACAATTAATTTGTCAATATTGAAATACATGCATATATAGTTATATACGGTCCATGTAAATATGGATAGCAAAACAAATAATACTCACTAAAATAACAGCACCATACATCCAGCTTTCCCAGCAAATTCTCGTACAATTTGTTCAGATAAACGTGAACCTGATAAGTTGACAAGAGAGAACGTGTTTATACATTGTGCATGATGAACATTGTTAATACTATGAACATTATATTTAGCATACATGAATAAGTAGAAAGAGAACAAGGTAGAAAAGCTTGTGCAATATGCCAGAATAACACAAATGAATGAATTCTTTGTGCAATAACATTTAAGGAAACCACACAAAATAATATTATGTGATAACAAAAGCAGTGAACATAATGCGTTTCATGAAGAGAATCTTACATGGGTTTGGAAGACGTGGAATCATACTAAGAAGAGAGAGAGACAATTATGATGAATCTACGAACCTATGTACGCCAAGAACATGTATAATGTTATGTGATAAGTTTGTAATAATTGCAGTGGTCAGTAATAGTACCATTCCAAAGCCAGTAATAGAAACACCCAATAACGACATCAACAAAGTGAGGAAGTTTGAAAAGTCTTAGACATCACTCTCTTTAATGAAATTTGTGCATGTATATGTTAACACTGTTTGAGCTTCATGATATTCAAAATATATTTGAGAAATGCTTGTTTAAGGGCCCCGTATTTGTATCCCCATATGCTTTTGAGAGAGAAAAGGCTCAGTTATATAATTATTCGCAGTTCCTTGTTAATAATCCCAATATGGTAATATGACGATTGACAATGTTGGAAAACCTGTTTCCACAATTAGCATACACAGGTGTATGTTTATGCATAATACACTCCTGGTAGTCTCCAAACTAATTACATCAGACAGGTCAGGTATATAGTCACAGTGAAACATACATGTACACATCATTAAACTAATAATTGTTTAATAAAGCTGGCATGTTAAATCGATCAACGGCTTACACATATTAGTTTGTTCTAATCCATTCTTTAACAAAAATGATTTACTG